CTCCGTCCTGCGCCTCGGCGCCCCTCACCATGTCCTCCTTGTTTTCCAGGATGGGCCCCAGGCCGCCCAGCATGTGGGCGCGCATGGCCTCGAATTTGAGGGCGCCATAGGCCCGCGCCATGCGCTTCAACGACTTCTTGGATAGACCAAGCCGCAGCAGGGGCTCGATGTCCGTGACCTCCTTCACGGTCTTGACCTCGGTCAGCTGGAGCTCCTGGTCCTCAGCGTCTATGTCGGGCCGAGGGTCGATCTCCTCATCGCTGGGAAGCTCTTCCTCGAAGGGCGGGGGTGGCGCGCGGGGCGGCCCTGGCGCCGCCCCCACCTCCCTCGCCATCGGGCGGCCAACCTCTCTCGCCACTGCTTCCGTGGCTGGGGGGGGCGCCCGTGCTCTCGGGGTCGATGCCCACCCCCGCGCCCTCCGTTGACCTCCGCAGGGCCAGCAAGCCTTCCTCTGAGAGCGCGAACCCCGCCAGGACGTCCATGCCCTCCTTGATGTAGTCGAAGCTCGCACGGAACTTCGCCACCCACTTGGCGGCATGGTCAATGGAGCCTGGGCCCTTGTTCGCGCGCGCAGCGCGCGCCACGGCCTCGTGCTCGGAGATGCCCTGCGTCGTCGCCACGCAGTGCGAGCACATGTGCAGCTTGTACTGCCCCTCTTTGCCCTTCCTCAGCTCGGGACATTTCTCGTTGTACTCTTTGGCCTCCGCATAGCGGCGCATCTCAGCACAGCTGAGCTCGTCCACGTACTCCACCGCCATGGTCTTCCAGTCGTCCAGCGCCGTGCACCTCCGACACCAGCCCAGGCGGTGCGGCGGGACCCAGTGCGCGCCCATGCAGTGGACGTAGCCCGCCTCAGCGTGGTCCTCCTCCGTCATCATCTCTGCGTCTTCGAGCGCGGCTGGTGCGCCGTCGCTCGACTGGGGGGCCTGGCCGTAGACGGTTTTGTTGCTGCGTCGGCGGTGGCGTTTGCCTCCATGGCCGCTGAGGACACCCGTGGTCGCCGCACTCGGAGCTTCGCTGGCGGCCCCGTCGTCCACGGCGCGCTCGCCGTCAGCGACGCGCGCTCCACGGCCGCCACGGCCACCCACAGCCTGCCCCCTCAGCTGAAGGTTGTGGAGCGCGAGGGTGAGCGCGTCCAGCCCACGGCGCTGCTCCGTCGGCATACGTGGCTGCCGCTGCCAGGGCGGCCGACGTCACTGGCACCGCCGCCGATGCGGGCATCGCCGAGGCGCCATCGGAGGCGGCGGCACTGGGGGCGGCCCCCGCACCGCCGCCTCCATCGACGTCCTCAGCGGGGGTCGCTGATTCCGTGTGCACTGTCGGTGCCGTCCGAAAGGTCGCCGCCTCGGACACCGTGTCGAACTCCTCGTCCTCGCTCTCCGACAAGCTTACCTGCTGAACAGGGCGCTGCGTCGGCCTTGCTTTGGAGGTTGGCGCCTCTCCCGCGGCGCGCGTCTTGGCGGGCCAAGGCACCGGCGCAGGCTTCGAGAACTTGGGCGCCATCACTTGGTCGGGTGGATGGCGCGGGAGGTGCAGCTCGAGAGAATGTGCGAGACAAGTACTCACGAGCCAAACAGCTGACGAGGAAGAGAGGGGAGGGGGAGAGGCTGCACACCGAACCAAAATGGGGCGGCCAACTGCCGCGGCGGGACAAAGGTAGCACAGGAAGACTAAGGGCAGAAGCCAACGGCTCCAGGTGCGTGGGGCCCGTTCATTGCGCTGGCGGAAAACGGCCTGACCCCCGTTCGGGACCCTGGGCGGGCAGGAGAGGGGGGAGGGGGGCGAGGGAACCACGTCGCGGGCGGGCGACAAAGCGGACGGCGGGCCGCCGACGGCCCCAGGACCCGCGGGGCGGCCCCGATCTTCAACGCCTCTTGACGCCTCTTTAGCCCGCGGCCTCGAGCAGGTGCTATTGGTTGCATGAGGGCTCAGCCCAAGTGGGTTGCGGGAGCAGCTCAAGCCAAATATTAAGAGCATCGAAAGTGTGACATGCCGAGACCACAACCTGCACACGGCAGGGAGGCTACACAACGTGGCGTGCAGGATAAACATGACAATGCAAGAGCGCACTGTGCGCGCGACAAGGGAACTGAACAATACCGTGCACACTGCAGATGTGCCTAATTTTCTACGACTGATCAGGGCAGCAGGAAGGGAAGTGGGGAAAGGAGGGTCAGTGAGCACACGCAAATGGGGTGGGGCCACAGCTAGTCAAGACCGAACGCTCGGGGCGGCCCCTGCATCAAGTCCCGCTGCGTCCTCCGTCGCCAGGGCGACCTGCTCCGCAATTTGGCCCTGCAGGGCGTTGGCCACTGCCGAGCGCAGGGATGCACGTGCCGCGGGCCGTTCGGCCTCAGGCAGCTCCCCTACGGCACGGCGCAGCCACGTCTCAGCCTCTGCGCCCCAGCGACCATTGACATCTAGAACAAAGGGCACCAGGCCCGAAACTACTACTACAACTACTACTACTACCACCACCACTGCTACTACTACTACTACTACTACTACTACTACTACTACTACTACTACTACTACTACTACTACTACGACTACTACTACTACTACTACTACTACTACTACTACTACTACTACTACTACTACTACTACTACTACTACTACTACTACTACTACTACTACTACTACTACTACTGCTACTACTACTACGACTACTACTACTACGACTACTTACTACTACTTACTACTACTACTACTACTACTACTACTACTATTACTACTACTACTACTACTACTACTACTACTACTACTACTACTACTACTAGCACTACTACTACTACCACTACTACTACTACTACTACTACTACTACTACTACTACTACTAC